CTTCTTCTCACGATTTCAGCGTGGTTAGAGTGTCCCTTTCCTCATACGATTTCAGCGTGTTTGGAATTTATCTCAGGACGCGTGGAACGCGCCCCTAATTGGTTTTCTCATAACCTCTTCTCACAATTTTCAAGCATGTTAATCTAACTCTCATGTTGGCCAAAATTGTTTTAGCAGGAAGTCAAAAACAAAAAATGGTCAAAATGATGAACTAGGGGCACAATCGAGTCAGGTTTTATGTCTTTTTCCTATTGTCAACGTACTTGCCAGAAAGGGCACAACCGAAGCTAACAACAGAGGCTAAAAAACTCTCTCATCCTCCAAACAGTGATGTATCGAGCCAAGTGTGAAGTACGGGCCAGAAATGAAGCTAGATGTTCGAACCCCTCATCTGGACGGATTTGATCACACCCAAGTTGGCGTCTGAACCAGAATGGGGAAGTAGAGAATGCAATGTGTTGGACCAATCAATTGTATACCTGGTCGGTGGGACATGTTGTGGCCCATCTCGGCCAAGTTAAGCCAGGGGCAATGCCAGGCAACGTCCGTTGCGAATCTGCTGCACATCCAGTTCGATACAACAAGACAGATCCAAAATAAAAAGAGACTGACTCAAAACAAAAAGACAGACTCAGAAACAAAACAACAAGACTGACTCAATACCTAAGTCGGTATGTACAAAAACTAGCATTTGCAAATGCTCAAAACAGTGCATGCACTGCTTCATGACAGTCCACGGCCTTGTCCTGAAACCTTTTGACGTAGTCAAGGATGTCTTCACTTTCTTGTTGCTTCTCTTTACACAATGTAAGTGTGGTCACCTTCTCCGCCACTTGGAAGAACTTGGAGTGGAATTTGTTAACCATTTCCTCCCAACTTCGGACAGAGTTTGGGGCCAAATTAACATACCAACTATATGCTCGGTCGGTGAGGGACTTCGAGAATTCTCTCAGTCGGAGGACGTGGTTTGAACCATGAATACCTAGAGTCTCGATGAATCGCACAACATGTTCTCGGGCATTTCCTTGTTTGCCGTCGAACTTGATGAACTTCGGCACTGTATACCCCTCAGGGTATGGATAGCTTAGCATCTCAATGGGGTAAGGCGGCTTGACGTCTGGATCAGGCAAAGAGGGCAAGGTCCTCTTGCCCCGTTCGAGATCGAACATGGCCTGCACATCGGCAAGAGTGAGAAACTGCTGAGGGAGAGAGTTTGATGGTGGTATTCCCGGGACTTGGCTTGTGGACCCGAAGACTGAACTAAGGGTGACTTGGCCACTCTGGTGCTGCGAATTCATCATTGGTGAGGACATTTGACGATATTGGCCATCAGCGCCTATAGACAAGCCAGTTGGTGATGGGACATTGAATTAAGGCCCGTAAAGTCCACCGTACGGCACCGCTATACCGGGTTGTTCTTGCAGATTTGTTGTCGGCACCAAAGGAGGCCCGCTTGGTGCTTGGGTAACATTTACTGGTGGCGTAACAAGATTAGGTACGGGCAGAGCTCCATTTTGCGCCATCATGCTCCTTATGTTTTCCTGGACACCAACAGTCGCCGGAGCACCATTCATTACCCCAGAAACTCCCCTAGTCACTATTGGATCTTGGCTTGGCACGCCATGGAGCCCGGGCATGGGCAAACTGCCGCCGCCTACTGTGGTTTGAGCATGTGTTACTGTGGCCGTGTTGCCATGAGCCATAGGCTGATTGGGGCCTATTTCTCCTTGGATTTGATTTTGCGCTCCGGCGAGAATAACTCCACCACCAGTTTGATTTCCGTTTGGCGCCAGTGCAAAGTTAGAACTCATCACCAACATGGTGTGAGTGAGATTCTGCAGAGTGGTAAGAATCTCTTGCTGAGTATTCTGAAGTCCTTGAATGGCTTCAAGCAAAAGTGGTTGATCTGGAGCCATGGTTCTATCATCACCACCATTAGAGGATCCTTGTTGGTGAACTTCATCTTCTCCCGCCATCCTTGTTGGAGTTGTGTGTATTCCAGATCTCGTTGAGACCATTAACCAATCCGCCTTCCCCAGCAGAGTCGCCAAAATGTAGGAGAGGGTTCAAGAAAGGAGTTGGAAAATTCGAAGATCTTCGAAGATCCTTGAAGAACAACTTCGAATTCTCTAGAAGAAATGTGAGAGGCTTAGATTCTTCAATGGTCTCAACTCAAGAACACAAACGTAAAGGAGATGATGGAGATAAGAGATTGGGTGAAGAAGAAAACAAAATGGCTAGAGAGAGAATAATGGCAAGGCTCTCCCATGGATCTCCCACTTGCACTCTCAAGGTTGATAATGGAGAAGGGAAATTAGTTCTTTCCCAAGAGTTATCTCTCCAAAATCCATCCCTTGTAAAGCTATGGGTAGGTGCTATTTATAGGCACCTCATGATGTAGGATGGAGCCCATGTGCAAGGCACATGGGGAATATTCTCTCTAACCACCTTGTCCGAGGATGTGACCTCTCCGAGGATGAGGAAAACCCCGAAGAGGAGATCAACCTCTCGGAGAACCCTTCTTCTTAGCCACACCTAACCAATGATCCCCAATCATCCCAAAATTGTGGGGTAGTCCCAGAGGACGTCCTGCCACAAAATATTGCCGAGTCTCATGGACCCCCCGGGGTCGTGCCACCTCGACCCGGGTATAGGCTAGTTTAACCGAAGAGTGAATTTATCTCCACTCACCGTCCTCGGGATCGGGTCCTTTGTTCGAACTCCATTACGCCCATGTTACCTCACTCTCGTCTAACCCATCCAACAACCAACCCTCCGTTGCCACCTGGTGGAAGGCCACCGATAAATATTACCAGATTCCCAACTCCAAGAATAAAGCACCCTTCCTCTCAATCTCTGCGGGCAAGCAAATTCTTGACGAGAATTACTCGCTAGGAAAATCGCTCACACAAAAACAGATTGTAGAATTGGCATCAAAGGGTGATCAAATGAATGCTGTCAATGTTGTCTTGACCGCCTCTGATGTCACGGTTGATGGGTTTTGCTCCAGTAGGTGCGGCACACATGGATCTTCCAAATCTACCCAAGTTAAGGGCAAGAATTACAAGTTTGCCTATATTTGGGTCGGCAACTCGGAGACTCAATGCCCCGGTCAATGCGCCTGGCCATTCCACCAACCCATCTACGGACCACAGAGCCCACCCCTGGTTGCACCCAACAACGACGTGGGTCTGGACGGTATGGTCACCAACCTGGCTAGCCTCCTTGCTGGGACTGCTACGAACCCATTTGGAAATGGCTACTACCAGGGACCGGCGAGTGCACCCCTGGAAGCTGCATCGGCTTGCCCTGGGGTTTATGGGAATGGGGCCTACCCGGGCTATGCTGGGGACTTGTTGGTGGACCCTACGACCGGTGCTAGCTATAATGCGCATGGTGATAATGGGAGAAAGTACTTGCTTCCTTCTTTGTATGATCCCGCTACATCGTCTTGTTCGACACTGGATTAAAAGAATAGAGATAGTAATAGGTTATAATTAAATATATGAATATTGAAGATACAAATACTGTAATAGATTCGTTCATTCATTTGATTCTTTTTGACATTCAACAATAGAAGAACAATTTTTTAATTTATATATTGCTTTCTGCCAATTGTTTCGCCTTTGACTTGTGTATTGTGAATAGCCAGATTGGGTTAAATTATTGAGAAAATGGTGATTCTGATGTGAGAAATCAAACAAACATCTTGGTTTTGTCTAATTCAGAATGTTAATGTTTTCGCTTCACAGCACAAGCAAGTGAACTGTCACAAGACTCGCAATTACTATCACCTTCCACTACCGAGAAAGCAGCAAATCAAAGTTAAAAAGGAACTTGTCTTCTTTGCTGGAAAGATTACAGACCCCAAAAAAATGTGTTGAGAAGAATGTTTTAGAAATAAAGGTTTCAATTTTGTGGGTCGCGTACAATTGAATTTAATCTGTGCATTTAAGTGTTTCACCATTTTATTAGTGTATTAGAGCAACTAGATACCAAAAACAGAGCAACACTGGAATAAGTGTGATAGGATCTCCAAAACCTCCAACTTGTTCATGGGATTCTCTTTCTTAAGTTCATTAACGTCTCAAGATTTTTGATAGTGTTTGGATTCTCTAACATTAGCTGGTCAAGTTGAGAGGATAGTTTGGGATTTACATTCCATTTGGATTGTGAGAGGTGAGAAAAGAATGATTGTGGTTTCTCACTTAAGTGAGGAAATAAATGAAATAATTGTGAGTTCTTACCATCATGTTTAGATAGATAAAAGTGAAGAGAATATGGTCACCTATCCTATTTGGATAGAGCAAGAGAAAGGAAAAGTCCAATCTAAATTAGTTGGCTGGAAAAGTAAATTGTTGTCTAAAATTAGACGTACTATCCTAGGCTTTGATACTATGTTTTGAGAATAGAAAGAGAAGAGAAAAGAAAAACTTTTGTATTCAATTTAAAGATTAATAAATAGGTACACACTCCTTTATATAGGAGAGAAAATAAATATATACAAAAAATATATTATATAAAAGATATTGGGAAAAAGATTCGGACCCCCTTTTGGGGGTCGCCCCACGACCCCTTTTGCTTTTGATTGGTCAAATTTATTTTTTATTTTTTATTTTTTTTCCTTCCCCAATCATTAACCTCCACGTGTGTGTGAGGTGGTGGGGGTAGAAATTTGAAAGTGTCTCAATCATATCCCATATACAAATATATTTAACACACTAACATGGTTAAATTTTATAACTTGACAATAAAATAACATAAGATATATACTCGACACAAACGTAATAATTTGAGTGATATTCAACACGATAATTATAATCGGATAATTCAAAACAAATAAATAAAATTGAAACAACTGACACATAATAACAAAATAAAATGCATAATTAACGGGGCAGGCTCAACTAGGGGGAAATAACCCGAGACACAGAATCGGAAGCCCCCGTCTCCTTCGAACCAAATTGCCTGTGCAGACAGTTGGCTTTTTTTTTCTTTTTTTCAATCAAAATATTACTGGACAGTTGGATTGATATAAATGGGGACAACTGACCAATAAAAGTCATTAAAATAAGCAACGCGATATCAAGCTGGCGTTGCACTAATTACGCATTAGTCAACATCTCACTTCTTTTGCACTTTCCAGGGACCTTCTCACTTTTTCCCTCTACTTGTGTATATATAGAGCAGCTTCACATCTTTCCCTCATCAATTACACAACCTCACAAAACAACCTCAAAGAATTCCCATCCTCTATAGATATTGTTCTGAATCAATCAATTCAATGGCAACTAATTCTATTTCCATCAGTTTGCTTCTACAAATCTTCCTACTATTAGTCTCAACCCTTCATTCCTCTTCCGAAGCGAGGCTACTCACCGAGTCCTCATCACAAACCCAGCAACCCATTCCCTTTGAATACCACAATGGCCCTCTCCTCACCGGCCAAATCTCAATCAATCTCATCTGGTATGGAAATTTCAACCCCGCCCAACGTGCCATAGTTTCAGATTTCATTACATCACTGTCATCTAACCCATCTGGCAACCAACCCTGTGTTGCCACCTGGTGGAAGACCACCGAAAAATATTACCAGATTCCCAACTCCAAAAATAAAGCACCTTTCCTCTCACTCTCTGCCGGTAAGCAAATTCTCGACGACAACTACTCGCTTGGAAAGTCGCTCACACAGAATCAGGTCGTAGAATTGGCATCAAAGGGTGATCAAATGAATGCCGTCAATGTTGTCTTGACAGCCTCTGATGTCACCGTTGATGGGTTTTGCTCCAGCAGGTGCGGGACTCACGGTTCTTCCAAGGCTACTCAAATTAAGGGCAAGAATTACAAGTTTGCCTACATTTGGGTTGGTAACTCGGAGACTCAGTGCCCGGGTCAATGCGCCTGGCCATTCCATCAACCCATCTACGGACCACAGAGCCCACCCCTGATCGCACCCAACAACGACGTGGGTCTGGACGGTATGGTCACCAATTTGGCTAGCCTCTTGGCTGGGACTGCCACAAACCCATTTGGAAATGGCTATTACCAGGGACCAGCGAGTGCACCTCTAGAGGCTGCATCGGCATGTCCAGGAGTTTATGGGAATGGGGCATACCCAGGCTATGCTGGGGACTTGTTGGTTGACCCCACAACTGGTGCTAGCTACAACGCTCATGGTGATAATGGGAGGAAGTACTTGCTTCCTGCTTTGTACGATCCTGCTACATCGTCTTGTTCGACTCTGGTTTAAAAGAATAGAGATAGTACTAGGTCATAATTGAATATACAAATACTGATGATATAAATACTGTAATAGATTCATTCATTCATTCATTCATTTGTTCTTTCTGACATTCAATATAGAAGAACAAGTTATTTATTCATACATTGCCTACTGTCAATTGTTTTGCCTTTGACTTGTGGATTGTGAATTGCTAGATTGGGTTAAATTATTGAGAAAATTCTGAATCTGACATGGGAAATCCAACTAACATTTTGGGTTTGATGATCTAATTCATAATGTGAGTGATTGTCACAGCATAGAAGCAAGTGAATTGTGCCGCAAGACTCGCAACTACTATCACCTTTCACTACCCAGAAAGCCACAGAATGAAGTGAAGAGGAACTTTTTTTTTTTTCTTGGAAGAATTACAGACCAAGAAAAAGTGTTCAGAAAAATATTTTGAAGATAAAGTTAAATTTTTGTTGGTCATGTACAAATGAATTTGATCGGTGGATTTAAGTTGTTCACCATTTTTTAAGGTATCAGTGCAACAACAGACCAAAAACAGAGCAAAACTGCAACTGCTGTGACAGGCTCATGAAAATGTTCATGAGATTATCTTTTCCTTTCATGTCCCTCTATTGTCTTGACAAGTCTCAAGACTTTTACACAATCTTAAAACTTAGAGCTTGTGAGACAGCGATTTCAAAGCATATGATTTCTAAACCTAGACATGTTAGAACATCTTCAATTGCTTAATCAAATTTACTTCTGTTGGTTTTTTTAACTTTCGAAGGTTAATAATATAATTTTAAGCGTGTCAGTAAGGATCAATTAATCCTTACAGAATATTAATTGCTAATCAATTATCAGACGATTGTGTTATAGTTCTCTTAGCCTCAATAAAGATGATTTTTACTGGTACCTTGTTTAGGAGAATTTGACAAATAACAAATGAAGAACAATTTCAAAATCTGAATTTCATTAAGTAAAATAAAAACTTACAATAATATGACTCTGCCTTGTAAAGCTTTACAGCAACAAGCTATTTGAAACTACTCCTAGGAAACGAAGTGCAGTACAATAATTGAAATGTAGAAATGTAAAGAACTGGAAAAAATGGGAAGAAATATGAAGTAAATAAAATGGTTTTTTTATCTGAGTTTGGGTCCTTCATTCTAGGGCCTTCTCTGCTATTTATACTTTTCAATGAAAACCGTTGAAGTGGGCTTCTAACCGTCGAAATGTCCTTCCATGATTATTGAACATGCTCTCTCACAGTCAGTCCCACTACGCTACTCTTGCAGTTAGGCTTCCCTCTTGATTTTTGAATTTAAACTTTGTGAGTAACCGTTAGGCCACATCACCTTGTATTCCTCGATTATTCCAGTGCTACGTAGATCCATTATTACCAATGCGAACTGATACGTGTCTGACTTTGATTGGCAACTTGTATCAACTCCGAAATTTCCCTCTTCGTGCCACATGTTGAATTATGATTGGCTTTTACAAATTATACAACTAACATTACCTCCCGCATTAATATACCCAATACTTAGTGATATTAGTGGATCAAGACACTTTACCCGCGTTCTAGGACATGCATGGACTTTGCATCTTCTTAGACATGCAACCGTTGTCCATCATTGCAGTATTTGTACTGCATTAAATTCTCTTCTATGTCTTGAACATCTCCCACTATCTGAGCATTCGAAAATGCTGATACAGTTCTCATGGCCAAACAAACCTTTTCTTACATAGATCAAGCATACAAAGAGTTGTTAGATAATGATGTTTGTCCTCGAAAGAACTTACATGCATTTATTAGCCACATCTATCCACCTCTATTTATTCAAGTCATGGAAGTTTTTGCAAATTATCGACTTTTGGACCAAGAACTTAATGTTCATAATTCTTTAGACCAAGATTTTGCAACAATGGATATTGGAAGCTCTTCTTCTGCCACAAAACCTTCTGCATGGGATGAGACTGCTGCTTTTTCTTCTTATTCTAAAGCTTTTGGCTGGGGAGCTTGGCTTACTCCTACTCAACCTCAGACGAGGGAGTGCATTCATCATCGATTTCCTGAATTCGATGACCTTCTTGCAGTCCACCCTTCCATATGCAGCTCTGTAGTGTACCCATACATTCCCCTCAACCGTCTACGCAGCCTTGAGGACAACTTGCTTTCAGTATGGTACACTTCTACTTTGTCATCTTGAACGGTGTGAAGGACCCCACTCCCTGATGAAGCCTTAGGAATCAGTCTTGCACTCCTAGCCAAAAAAGAAAAACTTTACTACTCTGATTGGCTTGAGTGTGTGAACAAACCTGAATTCCCATCCCCATTCAAGGAGGCTCCCACTTCTCCTCTCCTG